AGAAGTACAGACCTCGTAGTTAGCATCGCCTGGCTGCCCGATGGAAATATTGACGGTCATGCTCGTATTAAGCAACGAAAAGCCAAGGTAATCAACAAATGTGACGCCATAAATGTTGAAGCCTGCCGAATTTCCCCCAAACGAAGCACAGCCACCAGGAGACAGCACGACGGGGTTGAGGATTGGCTGATTGTTAAAATACATGCCAGTCATGCTGATCGAGGAGCTTCCCTTGTTCATCACCTTGATGTATTCACCTGATGGTCAAGAAACACAGAAAGATGAATGAGCAACTCAGCATGCATCCAACAGAATGTAAGACGCGAGCGTTACCGGGAGCCTCGAAGGAATCAGTCATGTCAGGGTTGTACATGAACTCGGTAATCACAATCGTAGAGCACGCAGATTCTGACATAATTCAACACACGCAGGCGGTGAGACGATCGACGAGGCAAGCGCTCGCAGAACCGAAAAAAGTCTACGACTCACGTTGAACGTAGGGGCATTGGTAGGGCTCTCCATATCCAGTGTAGCCGCCACTCCAAGCATTCGACCCAGGCCAAGACACAGTGCCAGCTCGCCACAGACTGGCAGTGTCGCCCGTGTTCCGATAGTCCTTCAGAATGTAGGACGCGTAAGTACCTCGCGAGGGCCATCCCGTGGTAAACGAAACTGATTGCCCAATCAATTCCGCCGGCGTGATTGCGGCTGATAAGCGGACCGTATCGCCATCGTAAAGCCACCAGACGGAGTCATACGTTGCAATGTAGCCGGTAATGTTACCATTGGTGGTCGTGCTAGAGGACCCCGACAACAACGAGCACGACATTGGCGGAAGTACAGCAGCTGCCGTGAATGAATTAACCAAAGAGTTTTCATCGCGCAATTTAACGTTCGCCAGGTTGAGCGATACGGTGGCACTGTTGAATAATTTGATGTAAGATCGCGGTCGCACACTGGCGGAAGCAACAGGCGTGAATTCTGTGATGATGGCCGCGCGGGTTGCGGCCATCGAGAACTGCTGACACACACCTGGCGAGCCTTTGTTGGTCAGAGAGCCGGTCCAAGCGGACGGCGAGAGTTCCCAGTTGGAACCTGTCGGTGCGAGGTTGTAGTCTCTAATGACGTACGAGGTGCCTTGGGTTGACGTTGGCCATGAACTCGCCCCAGTCCCAATGGAGACTGAGGTGCACGTGGTGGAATACAGAGAAAGTTGGATTGTCTCAGTGGTTGTCGATGCCAGGGAGAAGGTCGACCAAACGTGGTCCAACTTGACGTTGCCATTGGAACTGCCATTGTTGGATCCGAGCAAGGCGCATCCGAGTGGAGGGATGATTACGTCCGACGACATAATTTCAGACGTGCCGCCAGAGACATGCCCCAATGTCAGACCGTTCAGTGCGATCGCATGCAGTCGATTTGAATTGAACAGCTGAATGTATTGGGTCGCCGTGCTTGCCGGTCGGTTGAGAATCTCGACAATTCGCAAGTCGGTGCAGCCTGTGCACACCATGAAGCAATAAAGTAACAGCAGAACATTGAGTCAACAGCACTGCGGGGACAAGAGTGGACGAGTGACACTGGCTGAACTGGCTGAAGTGGGATGGCAGGCGACTGACTCAGACATCGGAGATGGATTGGAAGGCGAGACCGGCAGGGACCCCGATCAAGCGACGAAGCGAGGGAGCGAAAAGAGACACATACTCGTATGAAGGGAGAGAGAGTGTGTGTCGAGGAGTGAGGGAGAAGCGAGAAGAGAGAGAAAGAAAGTTCATTAGGAATGAAACGAGATCCATTGCAAAATGTGGGGTAGTTTAGTGAGCAACAGTATCCGAAATGAGCTCTTCCGCCGAACAAAAACCAAAATCCGAAAAATGACCAAAAATGTCCCAAGTCAAAAACAAATCACAAAAAAAGGTAATTAAAAGAGCGGAAGCTGAGGACAAAAAAAAAAAAAAAAGAAAAAAAAAAAAAAAAAGCAGACTCACAAACAAAAGCGATGCAAACGGAAGCGGAACACGAATGAAACGGAGTGAGTCAAGGAAGAGAGACGAAGAAGAAGAAGAAGAAGGAGGGGGAGAGAAGGGGAGAGAAGGGGAGAAGGGGGAGAGAAAGGGAGATGGAGAGATTGAAAGCGAAGGCAAAATGGAATGAAAATCAGCCCTGTTATTGTGGCTGGCGTTGTGGCTGGGTGGCTGACTGGCGGGAAGCACGAAGGGAGGGAGCGGGAGGGGGGGGGGGGTTGGAGAGCGACATCAACATTCGGTGGTCGTCGTCGTACCTTGCGTCGTGCAGGCCGAGAGCGCAACGACGAGCACAAACACCCAAAGCATTGTGATTCAAAAAACACACAACAAGAAAAAAAAAAAAAAAAAAACTGGTGTCAAAACGAATATGAAAACAGAAAAAAAAAAGAAGAAAAACCAAAACACCTGCCAAAAGATCAGATTGCTGGAGATCACGGTCGATCACGGACGCTTTTGGTCAAGTTGCCAAAAAGACATCTCATAATAACAAGTGGTGGTTGCGTGGTGGAGGACGAAATTTAGGCGTGATGTATGGGATAGTATGTATATGTTGAGGTTGA